GATTTACTTCAATATTTTGATATGATGAAATGATAAAAGCGAATCTGTTCATTTGTTAGTCACTATACGAAATTAGATAGAATTATTGAACCAAATTCCATAAAAACAGCTCTACTTTTCTTCTTTCAACTTCTTGTTCCTGTTCCATTTGTTTATTCGAACCACTTCATTTATTCTCAAAGCGTACATTGTTCATTTATAAAGTATCATTTGTATAATTTAGAGACTCATAACAAACAGACCCACAGTTTTCTCTATTCAGTTTTGAAAAAGAAATTAAAACAATTTGGATGGGAAAAGTAACGTAGAGTCGAAATGTTTTACTATAGTCTGATGAGGATCGCCATTATTTCTGCTTTTAAACGTGAAATTTTCGAAGCAACAGTATCATTTATCCAGAGACCTCGGCGTAATAGCAGCGTTGATTCGCTGTATTTTAATCTCTTGATGATCTGCTCTGAAGACGCTTCAAAGAGGATAATCCAGGAAACTTTTCACAATTAAACTTGTGATTATTCATCACAACACTGAGTCGACCTACAAAGTCTCCGGGGATGCACAGAGAGCTGGGAGGCAGCTAACGCGCACTCGCGGTTTTCTTATCTTCTTCAACAAGCAAATGAGGAAACTAAATCTCCAGCAGGATATGTGCGGTTTCCGAATTCCGATTCAAAGCGCGTTCGCGAATGTTGGAAGCATTCATTAATCTAAGGTCGTATTTGGGCATTTCGTGACTTCTTGGATGAAGGTCGTCAAGAAAATTTCAGATGCGTTACTCCAATATTTCTCTAGGTATAAGAATTTTGAACGCGGGCAAAAAAGCAAGGGACTGATCAAAATTTTTCTACACACGTTAAACATGAATGTGTAAAAATTCTATAATAACAGTTGTTGTGTTTGTTTTTTAAGGAATGCATGGAACGTTCTGCAGAAACGAAACATTGATTTATTTACAATTCGATTGTAAATCCATTACCTAAAATTTAGTATTTTGCAACGTCTTTGAATTGTGTGTAAGCTCTTATCACACAGCTGCCCTTTACATCCATATCTGACTTAGAAAGAAAGAAGTCAACGAGTAGCAGAAGAGGGGATAGTCCTCAGCGTCAAGAGTGATACTTCCAGAAAAACGGCATTACACAACAAAACAAGGTGAAAAGGATTCTAGCGGAAAAACTTATCCAATGAGAAAATCAATTGAATGTTGGATATTGACATACGAGTGCCCCCCGATGCACGTGCAGCAAATTGGGGAGTGAGGCAAAGACCTTCAGCTCAAACCCATTAGGGACGCCAGTCACCAAAGAACCCACATCGCTGAGTCTATCAAAGAGCGCGGGCGGCGTCAGAATCCAGCCCGATAACGCGCTAGCGATTCCTTTCGCTCAGTCAACATGGAGGCGAAAGGAATTCCATCGCTGTTTCTGGCGACAGAAATGTATACGAACAAGTTTTGAAAGCACTGTCTCCATGTACTTAAGAAATAAAGCAAAGACTTGTTAATTTAAAAAGGAAATAAAATTCTGCTTAATTCTGCATCGTGAATTATATTTTGTTTTTTCATTGATTTTTCGTAATTTTTATACTAGTTGTAATTGTAGTACTTATATTCATGCTGAAGTACTGTATTATCATTTGTTTGAGTTTCCATTAGTTTCCTGGAGTCCATTTATAAAATTTCAATATTTAAAAAAAATAAAATACATAACTGGAAATTCCGATAAATATGTTATTCACATTATTCCTTGTTTTCCCTTAATGCTGGGAAAAATGCATTATTATATATGAAAGGCACTTTAGTTTGGTAGTCGGCTATTTGGCTTTCCTATTGCGTTCAATATTTCTCCATTGCGATGTTTCCGTGGCGAATTTCCTGTTCCCGCATCAACATTCAAAACTTTCAACTGTCTAATAGTAAAACTTGAGTCAGGTGTCGTTTGATTTGCAATCGTTTGGCCGTTTGCAATTATTTGCATCATTTGAAATCATTCGCATCATTTGCAATCATTTGAAATCGTTTGATTTGCAAAACGCTATTTTTGTATTTAATCATGTTTATTTATATTGATGAGAAATAATACAATTTTAATTTTTAGGGATTAAAAGTTTTCAAAAAATATAAGATCTAAGCATCGTATTCGACAGTATGAAAAAATTTAAAATAGAATAATAAATTTGAACATGCTTCACAAGGGTAATGACACGGTTAATCAAACGGTATCTTCATGAACACTAGGTGAGGTAACAGGAAACAGTGGTGATGCGATAGAAACCCGACGGGGATGTACTAAAGGGTAGACCGGATGTTGTGTTTGTGTTTCACCTGATTTTAGACTAGTTGAGTTGTTGAAGAATATGATAACCTTATCTAGGGAATTAACTCACAGAATAGCGATAAACTCGACTCTTAAGTCTTGAAAAATTACATCTGTAAACTCCGAAACATCAATAATTGAAAGCTCGATCTATATTGCATTCTAATTTTTGTTGGGAATTTTATGTTTTAATTAATTCATTTGTTATTTTATGAATACTATGTTGCCAAAGTTAAGAATTTTAATTTACATGGACAATTACAATAACAAGAAACAAACATTTAACGCTTCCTAATAATGCACAGCACATATCATTCCTAATTGGTACAATAGCAAAATCTGTTCCGTAGCGAATAGAGACGCAATGTCAGAAATCTCTGTCGGTCTTATAAATAATATTTTCATCACGTGTTTATTGACAACGAACATCAATATTGATCATCTTCTGCGTCCCTATTCGTCCTAGAATTTCTTATAACGTTTATTTTGAACCACTCGCTTTAAAAGTTATACAAAACATACTACTATACAATTTCACGATACGTAAGGTATTTAATTTCGTGCCTGGTGATATTGCACACCTTTCCTTTTCTTTAATAATTTCAGAAACGTAAGTCTGGAAAAAACAAACATTTTGTGTGAAGGTGATATCAGCAGCACAAGGTCTTACTAGAGATAATTTCTAAATTTTTGTTGTCATTGCATGCCGAAAAGTCCCTTTCTGCTCCACATGCGTATGGGCCGACAACAGGTCAGCGGTTAATAACCGTGTTCAGGAAACGGCCACGACCTGCATAAAATGTGGATTTCCGGCAAGATTGGAACACTATCGCCTCGCGCGTAGAACATCCTGGCCGAATTTCCGAGAGACTCCGACGTGATGAGGAATTCCGGCGGGGAAGCACTCGAGCGCCGTGGGCCTCGGCGGCGGGCGGCTGGCCTGCGGTCGCCTCGGAGCGCCGGGCCCTGCCCGCCCGTTCGCAGTCTCGCGTTCACATCGTCTTTCGTTCAGTCTGCCCGTTCCCCCGCTCCCATTTCACCTTTGCCCACCAACAGTTTCCCTCCGCCACGTTCACCGCCCAGCCGTTCGCCCGGCGCGCGCGGCGCAGCGACGCCGTGCGGACGCGCGAACAGAAACCGCACCCGCATCCGGCAGAAAAAGGAAGGCGCTCACTTCTTTCGTAGTGGTGCTGGATCTTCCGTCATAAATATACCCTGCCTTCTCTCGTGATCAAAAAAATCACTCGCGCCTCGCTTCGGGCGCTTTCTGCGGTGAAGCGAATTGCCGAGCAAGAAATGAAGTGCGGAGGAATAGGGGGACAAGCGCGGCGATGCGATCAGCAAAGTGCTGGCGTCGAAATGGTCACTGTGATTGGAAACGAGTATTGTATCAGGGATTTATTGAAACGAATGCAACACATCGTAAACAATAGGGGAAATAAAATGTATATGTAACAACAAGCGTCTTGCGGGTAAAGAAGACGGAAGCTCAACGAGAGGGAAGAGAAAAGATAACCTCATAACCGATAAAATCAAAAAGGAGTAGCAATTCCGCGATGATGAAATAAAGTTAAGCGATGCACGCGAGAAAAAACAGGAAAAGTAAAACTGAAAACTTCAACATTAGGACCAATTTAATTTCTCATCAAAATTAACAGCGCCAAAACTTCATATTCAATTTAATCAAACTCATCTTCTATATCGCATTTACAAAACAAATGAGAAATTTGAAATCACAAATAAAGTCACAAACCGATGTCAAACGCCTTAAAAAAGAAAAAAAATGTATTATAAAAATTATACTGTAATTCATAATATTATAAAAGACGCCCTACTGTAGTTACATTTCATAATAGTTAAAGCACTGAATGCAGATATCTAGTTTCTGTGATGAAGTTACTAAATGCGGGTGATTAATAGACAAAATACTAAATTAAAGTGATAACTTAATAATGTAGATATATTTTAAGGGCGTATGTCTAATAATGTAAAACAGGAAGGATTAGGAATGATTAGTAGTGTAATGCTAAATTAAAGTGCATCTGCCGTGTAGTTGAACGGTGATTCTTAACCACCCTCGTATTTGCTATCTCTAGTAGCTACACTTAAGTCATTCAATATATTCTTTGAGATTAGTAGATATCCATCTAATAGGGCTACCAACCTATTCAAGACTTACCTCACAGTGGGCACTGGACAAGATCGCGGATGAGTTTGAAAATCTTGAGGACAGGTCGATCAGGAAGCAACATAAGTTCTGGGGTTTGGAATCCTCTTCTTTGAGGACGGGGGAACATCGTTCAGCTTCTTCAATTGGTAATTAAAATAGGTTGGGAAGGATGTCGCGAGTGTGGGTATCCCATTGTTGAAGGAACTGCTCCAGCATCTTATTAATCTCATGAAGAGAAAAACAGGGAAACGACGATTAGAGAAACGGCGTCAAGGATCCTCAAACCAGGCATAGCGATGAAGTCAGCAGAGCGGGCAGTGGGAGAGATAAGAGAGCAAATATCTCGTCCAGGGAGTCCCAATGTCTGACCCCTATACATAGCGGGTGTCGAAAAACCCTCCACCGAATTCAGGTCTTCGGTCTACAAAGCTGCGATCTCGCAATTACAAGGCGCTAACCCAGGCAGTCGAAGCACGGTCTGCGCAAGAGATTAAAGCGGGCGCCCAATTCGTGATATGCGCGTGCGGGGCGGGGGCGGGGGGGGGAGTTGCGTGGGCGAAGGGGGCCCACGGGGGGCTTTCCGCTGGCTTCACCGCCTGCAGGAAGTCGCCCCATCCGGGCGGCCGCGGCGGGGGAGGCGAGGCGCGCACGCCGGGCTCAGGCGGCCGACGCAGTCAGCGTCCGTGCGTGAGCGAGCGCTGCCGATCGTCCGAGATCCGGCCCGCGGTCGCAGCGGCCCCCCGACCATGGCGTGGTGGAAGAAGTTTATCACAGGTAATCGCACCACCAGTTCCTCACCGCACCACTCCGATCAACACGACTCCGATAATGAGCTCGCTCACTGTACCGGCGACGACAGCGGTACGCGAACTGTGTGCTGGAGTCTTAACGCGGGAGAGCTGTGCGCAGAGAATAGTGACGGGCGACGCAGCAGAAGTGGGAGCGGGAGTAGGCGGAGCGCGTTGTCTAGGTGCAGCAGCGAGTCGGAATGCGCGCTCGAACTGGTCGCGGGTGAGGCGCGAAGCCCAGCGGCAGATGTGATGGAGTTCATCGCCAAATGTCTGCCCGTGGTCTTCTGGTGCGTGGCGTCCTGCATCTTCCTTCTTTTGGGCACGCTCATGCTCTTAGTGTTCACGTTGGCCCTTCACATCGACGACGACAACAAACAGTGGGTGAGAGCGGGGCGTTCAGGAAGCAACATAGTGCTCGGGTTTGGAGTCGTCTTCTTCGTCTTGATGTTCTGCACCGCCGTTTACGTCCATTACTGCAGAAACGACAAAATAATCAGGGTGAGTGGTCGATGTAATGACACGTTATCGCGAGTAATATAAGTCTAGTAGTATTCTGCGTGGGCCCCTGGTAAAATTCACGTTTTTTCAGTCGATGTCACGAATGTTCGGTGAAAGCAAATTCTTCGAAAGTGCCGAACGAAACATTAATAATAACCAATTGATTTTTTGCAAAGAACTCATAATAAAAGCATGTAAATTCTTCAATTGAAACTTCTCTAGTATTTTTCATCACCAATTCATTTAAATACATTATTTTAAGATCGGTGAGAGATAAGAAAAATAAGATTTTTGTCATTATAAGCAAACTCTGAAAGAGAGGAAATGCAAATACGCACACATTCCCAGATAAGATTAAACACTTAAGACACGCTGCTCTCTAATCTTATTGAATGAACCCAGAGATACGAGTATCACAGTTACGTTATGAGATGTGGCAACTTGAGAACTTCGAATTCATGTGTATCAATCGAGTCATGTTTAAAGAACTGACATTTCTCTTGTTGTTAGCGTCAGTTAGCATGACACTGCTATGATAGGCCTTGACATTCTTTGGTGTGAGTGTTGAATCATACCAGCCGCGTATCAGAATTATCTCACGCGATAATGCGTATTTGGACGTCTTCTCGTTTCAGACAGACTCGCCGTTCGCCAGGAAATATGCAAAATTTCAGTCATTATATCTTGTAAAAAGGCATCTGCTCAAGTTTGTTACTTGCTTTCATTTCTCTCAAGCGGCGATTATAACACTATGTATAGTATATTACACACTGTGCAGGCAATGTGAAAAGGATGCTGAAATAATCAACCTCACTGCCGAGATATACACAAACTATATAAAATTTTCAGTTTTTTTAAAAAAAAGCATTGGTTTGCTTTCCTTTTGAAAGGAAGACCATATTTTTTCAAATATTCGATAACATATAGTCAACAGACCATCAGAAAAATATGTGCGCAATAGTCAGTTCCGTTTCTGGAACCGCGATGCGTAGTTGTTTCAAAATAAGTTTATATCAATGTCATATATCCAATATTTCTAGATAAGAAGCCTGATTTTCTTCATTATCAAATCGGCGCAAAATGAGGACACTCAGACCCTTTGCAACCCAGTACATTGAAAAGCGTGTGTACTTGTGTTTATTAACTACTTAATTTCTGCGATTAAAGTAGCCCCATTTTCGTGTTGTCAATTTGTAGCGTAGACCACGAGATGTAGAAACGTAATCACAAAGATAACTAACTTCATTACAACAATCAACGAGATACGCTTCCGCTAAAAGCATTTGCGCGAAAAATTGAGTAAACCGACAGGATATCCGGCAGGACTTGCGAGGAGGCAGACCTCGAGTCGCCTCGGCCGGAAGGCGCACTTGCCGGCTCCGACTTCGACGCCTCGGCGTCGCCACCGCGCAGGAAGTGGCCGCGCCGCGACGCCGCCACAGACGCCAGAAATATCTGGACCCGGCGTCGGGCGTCGCCGACGCCAACGACGACGCGATAGTCACTGCCACCGCCGCTACCACCGCTGCGACCTCTGCCACACCACCCGTCAGCCGCACCGCCACCAGCATCACGGCCAACGCCACCGAAACACACAACCACCTCCATAGCCACCACCCGCCGCCACCATCCCCAAACCCGCTACCACCGCTGCTGGCCTCACCACCACCGTCAGCGCACCGCCACCACCAGTACCCGTCACCGCCACCAACATCACCACCAACGCCAGCGAAAGAGACACAACCACCTCCACCGTCACACACCGTCGCCACCTCGCCAACACCACTCGCCATCAGCCGAAGCAGTCACAACCACCGCCACCGTCACACCACCGCCACGTCCCCGCCATTGCCACCGCTGACATCCCCATCGCCTCTGTACCACCGGTCTCCTTGGCGGCCTCCTCGCAAGCCCTGCCTTCGCTGCCGCCGCCGCCGCCACTCTCATCTACTACCAGCTCTGCCTCCGCTCTCATTACCGCCATCTGTCTCCCACCGCCATGTCACCCCTGCGCCGCTTCCGCCGCTCCATCTGCCGCCGGTTCTGCCGCCGCCGGCGCCGGCGCCAACGCGGGGCGGAGGATCGCCAGAGCAGCGCGGATGCGGCCGCCGCCCAAAATACCCGGAAACGGCGTCACAAATCACCCGCGCGGCGCCGTCACTGCCGCCAGAGCATTCCGATCCCTCGCCCGCGAGACAAACGACGGCCCGACGAGACGATAGCCTTCCTCGTGTCTCTGACGTCCTCTTCAAAAGCTTAGGAGTAATTAGGACGGCGCCCGTGAACTTGGTTGTGGAAAGTTGAACATCTTTCACCGAAGCTCGTAGTGCAACCGAGGTCGTGATCCTTTTGCCGAGGAGTTGGCGGAGAGGTCGATCGGAAGAAAGCTGGCGGGTGGAAAGAAAGGTGATCGGAACGCATGAAGAATCTTAGATGTCGTCGGGTGCACTTGAGCCTTACCAGTGGACACCCTAGTCAGAAGAGCAGGACTAACGTATTTGCACTGAAATATTAATGTACTCCTTATTTTTAAACATATCGTCCTAAAACTAAGCAGTTTATTGACAAACATATTCTTTGTGTTGCACTTAATTTGTTTTGTAAACTTTTCCTTCCGCAGGAAGTTCATAACATTTGTCGCGTTGCTTCCTTAAAGTAAGCAAGGCCGCCGTGAAGGAACTTCGATATAGGAAGTCTCGTATGTTTTGTTAGAGGTCGGCAACGCATAGATATGGCAAGTTGTAGTAATAATGTAGCTTTGTTGTCAATTATATTCTTGTAGCAGGAAGCCAGGAAAAAAATTTTCGGAAGTAGGTATGTCAATTTGATTCTTTTCCATGAGTTGGTGAAATCAAAACTACGAAACTGTCCATTTCGGAAGCAGAGATTACCGCATTTAAACTTCGTTAATCCTCATTTTTATCAGTTATTTAATAAATAACGTATTTCTCTCCCGTCCTTCGGCCCTACCTCTCTTGTCTCTTCCAAGAATGAATCAACCAGCTTCTTGCAAAAGTTGACAGTTTCCTCAAGAAACGGCATAATGCGCCAAATTTCCTTGACTTGGACAGATTAAAAATCTAGTGTCACATCCTAAGCAGTACACTAGAATAATTATGAGATTAATACTAAATTGATAATATTATTCATACGTCAGTACATGGTGCCAATACTCTGTCGATAAAGTTCACCAGTTTGAAATTGTATAACAATTTTATCTAGCGTCTCAGTCCCGTTTCCCTTCATGTCAAGAGATTTCGCGATAATCTGACATTTGCGATTATCTGCTGATAAGCATTTGGTAACTCGTGAAAGGATTGCGTTTGCCGGCGCCGCCATTTCGCCATCGCGAGCCCCATGGCGCTGGGTCTCGCCTTGACAAAAGTGGTCGGGCAGAATTTGACAGTGATCGCCCCGGTGGTCCAGAGCTCCTGGACGTGGAATCTAACGATCACGATTTCTCTCGGGGCGCTCGTACCTCATCGATTAAGAATCCTTTTTTTTAACACCGTAATATCCCACGGAGCCAAAGGGAAGCCCTGCAGCCCCGGTATGGCAGAGACAGCATCAAGTGAATCAAAAACAATTTGGATTCGACGCTACGATAGTTTTTAGAAATTACTAGAAAATTTACGTCATTTTAGATCTGCGATTGGTAGTTTTGAATAAATGTTAATCTGCATGTATTGTGTGTCTTGATGTATACGCGATAAGTCGTTGATATTATACACGCCCATAATAAACACTATATTTACATAAACTGATTTGCAAAATACTACTTTCTGTTTATTGCCAGCATCACTTTTCCTTAAAGTAATATTCTTGACACCCTGACTCATTTGAGCTTAATAATTATAGGTCATTATTCGATGTAATTTCTTAGTGAGAATGGACATCCGCCTTTAGACTTCAATAATGTCATCTCCTTCTGGAAGATGCGTAATTTTATTTTTAAATTATTGAGACAATGTGAACCTAAAACAATTGCTATCTTTATCTTTAAAAAGTAAACAAAGCAATTACAACGGAGAGAAAAGGGAAAACAAAATGACACTTTTGGCCGATAGAAATCTATCTTGTATTGGTTAACTTGAATATATTCTTGCTTAGCATTGGTTACTTTCTACACGGTGTAGTGTAGCGCGTGACATTTAAGAAAATCTGTAATAGGCCACATTCGACAAAAACATTTTGAATTTCCCCTCCCAAAATGTGTCTCTGGATCCGCCCGTATCTGATCACTACTTTAAAGAGCAGCGCCCCCTTGTGCTCTGCCGCACCCGGTGCAGAGAGCGAGAGGCGTGGATCGGTCGTGCTGGCCGAGAATCCAGAAAGCCGCAGAATCCAGAAAAGCGAATTGCTCTGATTGACTGCGATTGGGTGAGCGCGTGAGTCAGGCCGGAAGGCCCGCGCGCCGCGCCGCCGCCCATTAGCGCCACTTGTCGCGCGCGACGCGACGCGACGCGAGGCGCAGTTCGCCGCTTCCCACGCGCGCCGTCCCCTCGCCTCGACGCGACGCCTCGACGCGACGCCCTGCGCTGCGCCCTGCGCGGGCCCCGCCTGTCGGGAGCACCAGCGCGCCTCGCCAGGGAAGGCGTTTCGCTCACGTTGCCCACATTGATTCATTCATTCCGGGCACGTCAACTACCAGGGACTGTAGTCCCGTAATTGTAGTGCGTGTGTTTGCTCGGGAGGTGGCGGTGAACTTTCCTCGTTGGTGGTGGGCGAAACTCCGGCGCCGACTAACGCCGGCTAAGATGTTTCCCCAACCAGGTATCTCCCACCAGAGGGCCGCCCCAGCCGGGACCAGCTCCGTCCGTCTCCCGGCATGTGTGTTTGGGTAGTGTGTGTGTGTGTGTGTGTGTGTGGTTGTGTGTGTGTGTGTAAGGAGGCAGAATAGGACAAGGAAGAGATAGAAAAGATCGCTGGCGGTCTGTGCCCGAAGAGTAAACTTCTCACTATTACACTTTATAACCTTTTTGAAAATCGGTATCGCCAATATAAAATTTGCTGATCAACCTATTTTTTTAGTTCACTTTTCTAATAAATAAAGGCACTTTCTGAACTTAGCTATTAGCAAGTACTTGTGCTCAACTGAGAGCAAGAATATTACTCGCAATAATTTATATTCACATTTTACATGCTCAGTTGTACTAAAATAGTGGCGTATGAACGAGTAAAAAAAGGAATTGTTTAAAAATATTGATTACTTCTTATGTCGCAGACCAGGTTGTCCACTGAAGAAGTCAAACAAAACATTAACAAAGATTGTTTATATAAATACAAATACTAATTACTTGTTGTCTTTTCAATTCAAAAAAGAAATTATTTCTAAATATCTGATAACCTTCCAAACCTTGTTACGAAAAATATCGAAAATTGGTTTTCTATGTTTACGGTTAATAAAATGATTTCCCAATAGCGCATTTTCGAAATTATTTTATTTTTATTGTTATTGTCTTTGTCCAAATCGTCCAAAGCGAATTATTGTTATTATTATTATTATTATTATTATTATTATCATCATCATCATTATTGAATTGAATTGAATTGCATTTGCCTTATTTCATCATCATCATCATTAATGTGTGGAAGCGAAAGTTTCTTAAATAACTTCGAAGGGGAGGCAAAAACTTCGAACATCTTACTGAACATTCATGGTTCAGGGATCACGGCGTTTAAGAATTATAAGGAGATTCGAGCGGGAAATGTTTTATTTTGCCGCCTGCAGACGCAACACGTTGGACGCGCGCGTATGACAAATTGCCTATTGTACTCATCAGGCGTCGCCCTCCTATTCTCCAAATTAATCCGGAATTTGAGGTTAGGTATTTGGAGTATAGGTATTGTGGTAAGATATCTTTGGCATTTTTAAAATAATTAAAGATGTTGTCATTGCCAACAATATTTTTTAATTCAATAGCAGCTTTCGATGGCTTAGCCATCATCATCAGTTGTCTGCTAGATGGAAGGGTAGGTAGTCGTTAGGTAGTCGTTTTGTGGCTTCCATCTAGCAGACAACTGATGATGATGGCTAAGCCATCGAAAGCTGCTATTGAATTAAAAAAAATATTGTTGGCAATGACAACATCTTTAATTATTTTATTTTAGGTATTTGGAGACTTTTCTGGTATCTTTGTAGGTTGCCATACACACTTACGCATACATAAACATTTTCTCTTGCATCTCTCACAATAATCTTCAAATACTCAAAGGTTTCGTAACTTATTGGTCATTTTATTACGCTTTCCATTTTTCGCGTAGTTCGAGTTAGTTATTGCAGTGACATCTTAGAGAAATCGTTATGATTTGAGGCAATTGGTATATCTTGTGAAGATTAGCTGCTATGTGTGCGCCTTGAGGTAAGGCGGCCAAATGTCCAGTGCTGACGCCCGGGGCGGCGTGTGTTGCAGGAAGGCGTAGAGCACAGGGCAGCGCCGCGCTCGCTGCGGGCCGCGCGGGAGCACCGCCTCACGCCGCACCCGCTGCTGTTCCAGCGGACGCTGCTAGGCGCGCGGGCGCAAGCGCACATGGAGCTGGTGCAGCTGGAGGCGGGGCCGGGGGCGGGGCGGGGCCCGGGGGCGGGCGGCGCCGGCCGCGCCGCCGCCGAGCTACGAGACGTTCGGGAGCCCGCGTCGTGCGCCGCCGCCCGCCTACAGCGCCGCGGTGCGCGCCGCTGGCGCGAGCCCCCCGCCGCCAGACGCCCAAAGACGTACGTGCGGCCGTGGATGCCGCCGCCGCGGAGCGCCCCCGCCGCCGCCGCAACCGTGTCCGCTCCCCTCCCCCCCGGCGCCGCGGCCGGCGTCGCCGCTGCTGGCCGCGCGCGTTTCCGATCGCTTCCGCCTCGCCAGCCTGCGCCTGCCCGAGCTGCCGAGCGCGCCGCGTGACCCTGCGCCCACGCCGCTGGCGCCGCCCCGCACGCGCTGCTGCCCTCGCCACGCCCTCGCCCCGGGGCGAAACGCAGGGCCGCGCGCGCGCGCTCCAGGGAGGCGGTAGTAGCCGGCCGCCCCGCGCGCGCCGCCCGCCCGGCCGAGCCGCGCCCGTCAGCCCGGCAGCGCAACTAACCGTCGACGCAGGGGATCTGCTGTCCCTGCGACTTCTCTTGTCCACAGAAAATTCTTTTTTTGCGAGCTTTCTTTTGGCCACGCGAGCAATGGGTGTCTTGAAATCAGTGGTAATGAAACGTACTCTTTCCGTTTAAAAGTTTTGTAGGATCCCGTGAAACAAAAATTGTACATAACTGTTTTCTACGAAATGAAAGGATCCACAAAATTTTGTTAATACCGGAAAGAAAAATCTTTTCCGCGAAAACATTATTTTATTTTTCGAACTTTGCATTAAAATACAAATAATGGACTTATGTCGTGCGCCTCCTTTCTTTGGCACACACACACTAAATGTCTTTTCCCAAGACAACCACTACTCTACAACACCTAAAATGGCGACGTACTAACAAGTGATTACCAGCCTTGTTAGACCATGACGTCTAAGGCACAAGAAAGAACAGTTGGCACTGCAACTTAGCAGTAAGATGTGAGAAATCTTTGTGAACATTGAGCGTGTAGAAAATATATTTCATGGCCAATATTTTCTGAGAAGTTTTTCTATGAATTCTATTTTTATTAAAACATTCGTAACTTAAAAAATACAAAAGCTCGCAAAAACGGAATTCTGAAATATATTATAATTGAAAATATAAATCGTCAAAAACTTTGATGTTAAGGAGAAACAAATTTTACAAAACAAGTTATCATCACCGAGGTATCGCTTTTACAAAAATGGTTTCAAGTATTTTTGTGTCAGATCATTAGCGGAAAATCATCATGCAGTTAGCATTATTAGCATCCCTAGATTTCCACACAATTCATTTGTATGACACCAGACCAGATTATATCCAATAGAAAAGTGATCATTTTCTTTAGTGTTTAAGTGAGAAACTTTACAACGCACTTGGAACGAAGACCTAGTGTTAATCCCGTCCGTCAGTCGGGGCCATTTTCATTTCCGGAAGAACCGGAAGCAGTGGAAACTCGTTTCCGCGAACCCGTGTCGTTGTGACACGAACTTTGCTTCTAGTCTACGATACATTTCTTGTACATATAAGTTCTCGTCGTATGTTTACCATCTACTGCTATTTCTTCGTTTGGGAAGACTGAAGAAAAGTTGTCGTATAATGTGTAAGCACAAATCTGGATCGGAGACACAGCTCGCCCGCTTGTTCACACACTTCTAAGTAATGTTGGAACTGTTTCCAGTCTCATTTGTCAGCCACATTTAAGAGCCACACATGCGCTATCCTTCTCTTCCCTGTTGGTCGCCTTCGTTTAATTCGAGCAGCTACGAGTGGGAGCAACGGGACCATTAATATTATTTTTGGCAAGATTACTCAAGAAACTTGACAAAGCATTTTCAATATCGATTTATAATTTAAAACTTTATTACTTCCAGTCAAATAATTGCAAAGTATACTTATCTATCATTGAACTTAGTGTGTGAATTATTTCTTAATATATTCCGATAATTATTAATACGAAGTGTTTGTCATACTGCTCAAAAACTCATCCGTTCAGGAAATTGGAAGATGCAAGGCGTAAGTCCCCTACCCGCCTACGCTCAGAAATGAGTAGGCGCTCATTATTTACTTTTATAAAGATTATATTAAATGCTCGTATTTTTGTCAATATCAATTTCATTTTTTAGGAAGTTGTCTTTAATGGATTTCCTTCTCACTCGTACCTATTTTTAGAGAAAACTCGTCTGCGAAATACATTCTATTGTCATGTTCTCAAATCAATACTTGTTCATAGTCTCTTAAACCTAAACATAAACCAGTCTTGACATCAAAATTTTGTTTCTGGTAGAATGGGGTTCCGATTGTGACAGTAAATGCCTAAGTTGTGTAATGCCTACCCCAAACAACAAAGTGCCTTCGTCTTCCCAGTTTTTCATTTCCAAAGACTTGGTTGATCGAAAGACAGAGAGACAGTTCCTAACATGAATTTGACGAATTTCGAATGCTGCGTCTTTTTTAAGGAATTACTTGAAAATGTTTCAGTTAACATTGGCGAGTTATACTCGATGTACGCAATTCGTGTATGTTTTATGAAACAAGACGTTTGAGATATGTTTTTATGTATAAATTTATAAAATTTAAATGAGTTTTGTAATAAAACTGTACATAAATACACTTGTGTTTCATGTCTTTTTGAAATAAAACCCAATAAAATCCTCAAAACTTGTCCATAGCCACCTTTACTTTAAAAAACATTCGTCGAAATAAAAGAATCTAAATGCCGCTTCAAAGGCACATGTAGAAGATTTATAGAAGAACCCCACTATAAGAGAACCTGCTTATAAGAGACTTGTTGAATCCATGAGTGATTTGTTTTGCCCAAAAGAGCTGTAAAAAAGTTACAGCAAAAACATACTACATATGCACCATACGTAAAATTGAACCCCCCCCAAAAAAACAAATATTTTATGTAATGTAATTACTCTCCAACACTGATGAACTTAGGGAGGTTTACAAATTTTGGAACAATACAATACTTATTCATTGTGAAAACCGAGTTAAATTTCTAACAAAATAATTGAAACGTTTTACTACTTACAAAGTCCTGTATCTCTACATCTATTTGTCGCAGTGGATATTCCTCGACCCGTCTTGACTTTAAAACTTATTGTGTTTTATATTATTATGAGTACTTTATGGAGGGGAAGGGGCACAAATATCAGACGACTGTTGAACACATTTCTGTACTCTCATTGCATTGCAAAGCAGTCAATCTACTTTTTTTAATCGCTATTTACTCTTCCACAACTATTATCGTATTACCTCACACTCACACTCGTGCTCGCGGTAATGACAAAACGCCCACTGATTTCGATTGCAATTATTGCAACTCGAAAACCAAGACATACGCCACTGTAGTATAGTTAACTCAATGAACAATGACGTCAGATAAACATTTTTCTATTAATTTTATTGTATTATTAAAACTTTGTATTTTTACTGTAAGCCCACTCGATAAGAGCAAGCGATATCACATCTGGGATTCATTACTATTCATTTAAAGAAACACTCGCCTAATTTGGTTCAGAAGAAAACACAAGTTTCTTTCTAAAAGTTTTTCGCCTGTAGTTCATACAAAATTCGTTCCAGAGAAGTAAGGTCAAAAGTAGAAATGTCACCATAGGTGGATTTATGAACGAATATTAGCATTTTCCAGTTACGAATTCTCACCAAAATAAGTGAGTAAAATATACTAAGCCTTCAGCTGTCTCTTATATCTACTGTAAACATGTTTTTTGAATTAATTCCGTCGAAAAAAATTAGTAGTTAAACTGAAATTCTATTTTGTGACACTTAGCACGTATTCAAAACCTAAACTAAAATCAGTCCAATGACTTATCATGAATGATTTGTGTCAATAACCTATTTGAAAACCAGTTATGACTAGACAAACATGTCACAAATGCAACAATAATTCAATTAGGTAAAACTTACGTAAATAATAGATTATCATTCCTCAACCATCATTCATCACATGACATGTTCCCCTCGCAAACGAAAGACTTGACCAAGCCGGTCTGCTTCACCCGCCGGCAAGGCCATCGACCTAATTTCATCGACTACTTCTTTGGCAAGCGATGCATTCTGCTAAGAATATCCCTCCGTGCTGTAAATAAATATGTCGGACGGGGCAGTGCTGATAAGCTTATCAATGAAACGGCGCGATTACGACACCCATCAGGGATATTTCTTTTATCGGCGGCTGCGTTGGGAACAGCCGTCGTGTCCGGCGCCGCGCGCAGGGCCGGAGAAAGCGCGTGCTTAGCACGCGCGTGCGAGAGACGCGCCGGAGAAAGGAGCGCCAGTCGGTTAGGAGCTCGCGACTAAATGGGCGTCCGAGCTGCACGCGAGATGCGCGCCGCGCTCTCCGCCCGATAGCAGCGCTCCCGAGGGTGACCACTGCTCCGCAGCGCGCGGGCGACCATGGCGACAGACATCGACGAGGTGGACCAGTCGGTGGCTGCCGTCGTTCAAAGTGAGTCTCCTCGTCACGTAAGCGACACGTTTGGGAAGGTAGCTGCTAGGGCTGCCCACCCCCTCGTCCAAACTGTTACTTCGTACTGTGCACTTAATTGTGAACTGAACGTGTATGTCATGTCACATGTTTTGCAATGTCTTGAGTTTCGTGTCTACAAATTTCACAAATGTTATTTGATAAATCTATGAGAGCTCCCCCAATTCACCCCCGAGACAATGATTTTCTCTTGCTCTTCCCTTTGTGATATACAATATTTTCTGTCTTACAACTACCAACTACAAAATTTGGTCCAGGTTGAAAATCCTTTCTAGGGATGGAAATCATTAACATTGTAGACGGATTAAAATAGCTTCTTTAATTTTATTCATAAATCCACGGAAACATTAAACGCATTCACAAATTATAACCAGGTAAGAAAATCGAACTTACGAACAATTTCCGAATACTAAGGGAACTTCTTGATTTGTATCTTTAACGTTGTCTTTAACATTTTATTTTCAGTAATAATCCAAAGTTGGTTAGTTAAAATTCTGAAAATAAAGATCATTAACTCAGAATTTGACAAAAACAACGCGTCTCACAGTGTAATTATACTTCACAACTTTACCTAAGAACATCTGGGTTGAAAGCCTTTCTATATGAATTAAATGTATTTTTTTATTATGAAGCACAATATCATATCGCCGTGTAGAATAATTTTATCTTTTATCTGCCGAAAGATATAGCTGACAAAATGTGGCCTGGTACATCGGTCACTTAAAATGGTTCGTTAAAATTAATTACTTTATTTATATTTGTTACTTTTTAAAAAGTCGTCAAATTAATCTCATTGATTACACTTGAAGTGTCCCGTCGATTTGTACAAACAGCTGGTACATCAATACGTAATCTCTTTTCCAATCTTTACAATAGTCTCGGGTGAAGCATTACCTTTCTTTCGAACCGAGAGCGATGAATGAATAATGGTTTGTTACCGCGGTTCCATGTTAGCCAAGGATCGAATTACCAAAAGATTTAAAAATTGATAAAATGTTAATATCAACCATTTATCCAGACCAGGGGAAAAGGAGCTTTGCAGTTACAGAAATGTTTAGTTATGTTCACATTTGGTGTTCTGAACTTGCGAATGCTAGAACTTATGATACATCAATTTCATGTGAACTTTATTCACCATCGCCGATATTAATAAATGTAAAACCATTGCAGTAATATTTGGAGACTGATATATTTCATTGATGCCCATTCAAAATTAACGTTCTGAAGCTGGAACATGTGATTTGAGAAAAGACATAAAAACTAAAAATAGAAAAGAAAAATAATCAAATATTTTTCTCAGTTATCACAGAACAACACAATTATTCATTATATTCTAATTTATAATGTAACATGACTCATATTACCAACATGTCGATAATAAATGAAAATGCTACATGTAAGCGAATAAAAACGTTTTAAAACCTGTTTCTATAATTACATAAGAGCAAAAATTTGCTACCAAATGACCACAAAGTTCGTGTTGTCTTTCAGTCATATTTTAACTAATGTTGACCAACGAGTTAGGAGGCGGATTCCGAAGCCCTAAAACGTGTAGTTTGTTGCCCAAAAGCATTTCCATGAATGTGTGTGTTTGTGTGTGTTCGTGTGCGTGTGTGTGGGGGGGTGACATTGATCATATGTTGAGGCCCCTTGCGTTGCTTTTGGACAGTGAATGCGGCTTCATTATCTTCGCGGTTTCTTGAGATCCGTTTCGGCTACTTGCGAGAAGAGCAGGGGTGACGTTATTTCGTAAGCAGATGACTTATTATCAAATAAAATTTGTAGCTTGTGTGCCGATTCAAATACTTTCTACTGCACGGAACCGAATATTCCTCGTTACCAAATGGTGCCAAAACAGCTTTTTGCTATCTTTATTCGTAATTCAACTATCTTAATTATAGAGACTATGTAATAGAAGCAAAATAATACGGAGGGCGCAAATGTCAAAATTTCGTAAATGGGTTTCATGAATCGTAAAAGGTCTTTGCCAGTTTGGTCTCAAATGTTGACTTATTGAGTGCCTCTAACAGGAAAATACTGGTGATAGCACTATGGGGATAGCAAAGAAGATGAAAAATGAGAACACAACCTCAGAATATTTTTCTTTAAAAGAAGCTTTTCTCTCTGAAAAGTCCCATTCCTGTTAAAAAACAAAGGTGGCGTTAACATAAAAATTAATTAGTCTATGAATATATCTTAAGGTTAAAGAAGTATCCAACTGGAAAAGTATTAAAATGTTATCTTTGTTTTCAGGACGACAATATGGAGTATACTGTTTTGGGCTGGTCATATCCTGCCTCTTGATCATATTAATTGTAGCTGTTATAATAGTGTTACTGTTAGTGGAAGGTGAAGATGCAAAAATTATTCTTCCTGTGTTGCTGGTTCTCCTTGTTGCAATAGCAATAGGATCATTCTTGTTTATAAGATGGCAGCATCAAAAAGCAGTCAAGAAACGCAACCAAGAAGCCACTGAATGGATTCATCGCACTCTGAGTCAGCAGCAGGTTAGTATTCAGAAATACAATGAATTTCACATCTTCAATGGAAATACTGTAGATGTACAAAAATAAAAATGTGTTACAATTACTTTTATTTTGTTACAGCTTGCAACGGAAAACACAGAGACAGTAAAATCATCATGGGCGTTTTGGAGGAAACTATCAGCTGGAAGCAGTAATGGCCGTCCAATCCCAACAGCTCCTCCTGATTCAGCAAACACATCAATGTCCACTGGAAGCAAACCTCAAAGTGAGGGCCCACCTGGATATCAAGCAGTTTCCACTCGTGAGATTACAGTGTAAATGAGCATATGCAGAAAACTTTACTTCTATTTATCTTTGTTGACTGCCATCTTCAACCATGGTAATTCAAAGACTTGACCAGGAGAGTTGAAAAATTGAAAACAGTAAATTAATTCATGTGAATCAAATGAGAGTGGGTGCCAACTAATATCCAAATTTATCAAAATTAATTCCAAGAAGATGACACTCTTGGGTATATTTATGTAGACTCATAAATCCCATTTATAAAAGAATTTTTCATATCATTAGTGTCCTTTGGAAAAACACTACCTATACTCTACAAAACGGAGAACTTGTTCATGTGGAAATTTGTTGAGAGATGGCTTGTAAACTGTTGACATAAGAGACCAAATATATTCTTCACAGAAGACTCAGCAGAAAGTTCAAATACAGAAAAATACATTAAAAAATATTTTCTTTGTAAGTGAAAATTCCTTCTCAACATACCATAGCTAAAATGAGTCAAGAAATGAGTAAATAAAGAATATTTTGTCAAGATATTCTTGTGTAATAAAAGAACAGGTCTCTGTAGAAACTTCACCTAACAGAACTCTAATAAAGCTAATATTTAAGGCTAACAACTTAATATGCAGCCACATTTTGTGTGAGTGCTTATATAATACTTGTAGTGAATGCAAGAAGAGAAAAGTGAAATGGTATAAGGAGGTAGAATATAAAATAAACAACTCGGATAACTGTGATATTTCTATATTCAGTAAACAAAAGTAGGTAGCTTTGTAATAATGAAATATTTGTAAATTGCATTTGTAAATGATTGTGAAAAGGCATTTTATTACAAAACATTATCTTACTCTGAACTGTGGAAAAAAGAATGTACTTGTTTAGAAACAAACAATTATTATCTCCTAAAATACACATGTGATTTACAGAAATTTAACAGTATCAGCATTGTGAACAGAACATTACAATGAAATTGTAATATCTTTGATACAGTAAAATGGTTATTTTTTGATTCCTGAGATGATGCATCAGTATTTTATCTTTCAAAAGCTGAAAACAAAATGGGTACTAATTGTTATTAGCAAGCTTCATAATTATCTGCCACACTTGTGAGTTGAAAAGTTTCATTCAAACTTAGGATAAAAGCTTATTCATACAGAACATTATTATGAAACGGAAGCATACATTTCACTGCATTTTTGAAAGATTTGTTAATTTTTCATTGGTTTCCAATAATGGGTTTTCAACCATGGAATGCTTTGCAGAACTGTTATTTCATTTTCAAAATTGAATGAACTTGCAGCATGTCATCAAGAGAAAAGGAGGAAAACTGAAATATTGTTAGAATAAAAATAAGACAAAATCATCTCTGATAAAAATATTCCCTTGAAGAGGGAAGTACAAAATGCATTTGACAATTACAAAATTCCAATCAACGTGAGTTTATTATTAAAACCAGTCCATTAATTTAAAAAAAAGAGTACATTTAAATACTTAATACTAAGGGGTCTTCCATAAATTACATACTGCTAAAGGAGCGGGGAGGTTGCGTGAGACGGGGGTAGGGAGATGTAAGTACAGTGTTACATTACACTAATTTCCCGCCCCTTTTGTTTTTTTTTACTCCCCCCTCTCCCATTTGCTACATTAATTTCTTTCATTCAGTCTTGCATCAACACATTAAAATATTAACAAATTAAATTAAAATATAAATAAATTAAAAAAGTTATGATCTATAAATGTTTGCAATAATTGAAAATATTTTTTCATCTCAGCATATTAATTGAATCTTAGATCATGAAGAAAGTGTTCAAAACTGTTCTACATTCTAGAAAACAATTAAATTGATTGTTTTCTAGTAGTAAATTCTCGCCCACGTGTCCTTTACAACAACATGCGCATTAGAAATTTTCTCGACAATGCTTCTTTCCTTCCTTCACATAAAAATTGTCCTCTAATATTATTGTTAGGTACAAAGAGCATTGACAACTTATTCAGACTTTAATTATCAATAATCAATAAATATTAATACAAATTGTTATCATTGCCATACAATTTATTTTTAGTTTTTGTAAATGAGGTGGGAGGTTGCAAGTATTACATGATTATTATAAAGGGATTCGAAAGCATGTTACAGGTGCATTACAGGGGGGAGAGGTGGTATTCGAAAGGTTCCAAATTTGCATTACATAATTCATGTACGGCCCCTTAACAATCAAAAAATCACGTAAAATGTATTGTGTTTGGACAAATATATTTGTTGTAATATCCAAACCTTTTCTAAAGAATTTTTTAAGATAAAATCTTCAAAAAATAACAAACAATGAAAAATGTTTTCAGTAATTTATGATAAGTGAAGATAAATTTGTTTGGAATTTTTTCCAAGGAATTTGTGTTTCTACATGGAGCAAGTCAAAACTTTATGACCTCATATGAGAGAAAAAACATTACAATAGTGATGATCAATAATGTGGCCTTCATAAGAAAGTGAAAAGGAAGAATTTTCAATTTTCCTTAATCTCTGAAAACAGGCACACATTGACAGGGAAGGAAATGCAAAAAATTTCCCCTCCCAAAATTTTTCAATACACTACTTGTCAAGAAACTTTCAAAAATATTCTCATATAAACATTAAAACAAATAAAGTTGTTTTGCAACATGACATGAGATTAGCCCCTTCATTTTGCATAATTTGTAATATAACTGAATTTTTGTATTATTATAATATTTTTTTTCCCCTATGAGTTTATATTTCTGTGAATTAGAGAAACCTTGTGTCTGAAGTTAAAATAATATTTATTTGTAGAGCCCAGATTTATCTGCTTAAAAATGCATAAAATATACCATATATTATGCACGGTTAATCTTTAAAATATGCAATAAATATCCAGTATGAAATTCACAAGGAAATAAATGTTTGAACCACGTTTCCATCTGTTGCAACTAGTAAACACATAGTGAGGTGATGCACACTCACTGGATAACATTTTCTGACAAACAAGAAAACCACGGTCTATCACGGTTTTGTTTCTTTTGAGACAGAGACACTGCGTGTATGACCCATGGCGCCCTGTTGCAGAAACAATGCAGTAGCTATAAAATATAGCAAAATAAAAATTCATCACGAGTGCTCTAAATGAGCAGATTCATAAAGATATGTGATCATTTTCCAGTAACAATAAGCAGAAAATTATATGCATTTGCATACAAATCCGGGCCCTATTTAAATGCAAATTTTGAAAGTGTTGATAAACTTTTGGAAAGGTGGAGAAATAAATATCAATGATGGAGAACGAATCTATATCCCAAAACGATTATCACAAAGTATGTGTATCACTCAAAAATCATATATGAGTTGACAATTTACAAAAACAAGATAAAATTGTTAGAGTCTCATACTGAAAATGATGATTCTTGCAAACACATCTCACTCACGTCACTGTAGTTTGTTAACATTTCTTTTAGATATTATTTTGCAAAAACTTGAATTATAAATAAGGTGATGATGAATATGATTGCTTTCTTATGCTGTTAATCTAGATATGAATAATTACAATAACAATTTGTAAAAAAATCTATAGCAAAGTTTCAAATGTAATTCTCACTCTTATCTCATCTCTTTGTAACAGATAATAAGAGGTAGATCCAAGGAAAGGGTCTGGATATCACCATTACATTCCATTCTTTCTCAGAAACATTTAAAAATGCATGATGGTATATATTTTTTAAAGTTTATTTAAACTTTAGAATTAATCAATATATTATATAAAGTTATGTTAATAACTATTTGAATATCCCAAAAGACAATTTACAAAATTTAAATGGAACTTTTCCACAAAAAGCACTTATTGTCCAACATGTGCCGTCTTCTTGGTCTTTTACTAAATCCACTCCTGCAAACAAAGATATGTAAATAAAGAACTGCATTGCTATTCTTTTATGCAAACATATATGATGTAGGCAATTTTTAAAATTTATTGTATCTGAGCAATCTTACACAAAAAAATTTACTGAAACAACTAATATTGATGTATGCAACAATTTCATACCTAAACAAAACAAATTAATGTATACAGACTGTACGTATTGTACATTTCTACACTAAATAACCTTACTTTTCAGAAATTATTTGACCCTAAAAGATTATTACATTTAGATAAGGAGTGCAGACTTTTTTTGAATGCACCTGGCCTAAATCTTTGAGATGCTTTCAATTATATAAACGATATTCAGTATAATATGACAATTCAGTATTATACTATAATGCTATAGTATTTTAGTATTATTATGTGCTCGAAAATCATCTCTTCAAATGGACATTTAAAGACTGCGGGTTACGAGGTGGTTGTTCTGGGTTCATCCGACCGTCACTTTTATCATGTTTATGTATCGTCTCTGATTTAGGAGCTAGTTGCAAGTTGCGTTTGAGGTCACGTGACAGTGCACAACAAGCAAGATGGTGCTGGAAAGTACTATGATCTGGTAAGAATTTGCGCGGTTTGGGGTGCATTTTGCTTTTATTTAATACACAAGTCGATGCTCTATTGTAATTAAAAGAGGTGCAATGATTATTTTACGAAAAATGTATAGATTAGATTCATGGTCATGAAAGTAGGGTTATGGTATTGATGGGTGATGACAAAGCAACCTGAATGTTATGACATTTTAGTAAAATACATTTTAGTTTGGAAGAATTTGGCGGGTAACGCCTTTCAATTAAATGTAACTTTTAAATGATAGCAAATTTTTATTTCAAAATTGGATTGTAATTCAAGTTCGAGGTAATTCATTGCCCATCAACTCCTGATAACCTCTTTAATTTTCCATTCTTTCCTGCTCTGAGACAGATTTTGTACTGTAGTTATATCGTATGAGCTCGTTTCATAACCGGCTATATCACTTTCTAGTACATTGAATTTATTATTTTTTTTATTTCAGTGTTGACAATAGTGATTTTATGAGGAATGGAGATTTTTTGCCAACTAGATTACAGGCTCAGCAAGATGCTGTAAATCTTGTATGTCATTCAAAAACTAGATCTAATCCAGAAAACAATGTCGGATTATTAACATTAGCCAAGTAAGTTGAAGATCTTATTCAGAATTTTATTCAAGAGACCCAATTCTCTATTAAACAATGTTTTTAATTTTAGCGTGGAAGTTCTTGCTACTCTGACATCTGATGTTGGTAAGATACTGTCTAAACTCCATCAAGTTCAGCCTAAAGGAAACATTAATTTATTGACTGGAATCCGAATTGCACATGTTAGTACTTCTTTAATAGTCATTTTATTGATTCTTACAAAAAAAAATATTCTGAATTAAAATTCACATTACTTATTGTGTTGTAGTTGGCATTGAAGCATCGCCAGGGAAAAAATCATAAAATGCGAATTGTAGCATTCATTGGCAGTCCTGTCAGCACTGATGAAAAAGAATTAGTAAAATTAGCTAAGAGGCTGAAAAAAGAGAAGGTTAATGTAGATATAGTTAGTTTTGGTGAAGAGGTGAGTCCAAAGGTGAGATACTTCATATCCTGATGTTAAAGAGGTAATTGTAAGATAACAAAATTTTAACACTTGTGTACCAAATGTGACAATTTCATTTTGCACTTGACAGGTTGCCAACAATGACCTTTTGACATCTTTTATTAACACATTAAATGGCAAAGATGGATCTGGCAGTCATCTTGTGACTGTCCCTCCTGGTCCACATCTGTCAGATGCACTTATTTCATCCCCAGTCATTCAGGTAATAATTGCTTGGAGAAGGGTAAAATATTACTGTAAAGGTTTTCTTGAGGTGGTAGTGTGTGTTTGATTGTTTTTGTTTTCTACTTTGTGTAATCAGAAGTTTTTTGATAGATGCAGATGATTTCAACTTGACTAATAGTATTTTCAAAAGAAATTGTATTGCTGTCAAAATAACAGGTCATTGGTTCTTAACAATTTACTTCACAAAAATAAATTTTATATAATATGAAAATTATTTGCTTTGGAGAAGTAATTTTTTATTAATTGCGGTCTCTGAAAAATCTTCTTAGAATTTATATCATTACCAATTCATTACTGTATTCATTATTCATTCTTTTTTGAGCCGTGGTAATGCCCTGGACGTTTGTTACTTGTAATATGAAAGGTGAATGTCATTTTACTGTTTTGTTTTTAATGTTTCAGTGAAATAAGTAGTTGCTAATTTTTTAAACTTAAAAAACAGTTAAATACTTTTAATGTGACGTGTAGAGAACTAGCATCTGTGCATGGGCATTTACTCCATGCAGTTAAATTCATTAATTGCAACTGTCCCTGTTAATTCATTATACCAAGTGTGTATAAAGAATGAAACAAAAGATAACCCAGTTCATATCTAATGTTCAGTGCTTAAGAACTTTACCTGCAAATCATTTGTTGTCTTTTGTTTCATTTTGTAGTATAATTGTCATTGAAATTAAATTTTGTGATGATCTATAAAAAATCAATTATATTGTATGGTACATTTTTAATATTAATGAAACAGGTCCATTTTAACGTGAATGGACACAATGTTTTGCCTCCATTGAAAAAGGAACAAAAGATTTGCAGTCAACAAAAAATTGTTTGTAGCTTAAGAAGTGGATGAAATTTGTTTTTTTGAAAGTTATTAAATAATATTGATAGTGATTACAAAAAATGTTGGTGGTGTTGCAGGGAGAAGATGGAATGGGAGGAGCTGGACTAGGAGGATCAGGTTTTGAGTTTGGTGTTGATCCTAATGAAGATCCTGAACTGGCTTTGGTAAGTCTGTGTCATGAAGTATTCAATACAATTAATTGGCAAGAAATAAATCTTTCATTATGAAATTATTTTTTTATTTCATTTACAGTCAGGGAAAGTATTTGAGAACTGGGAATACTAATCAAGTGGGATACACAATTACCTTTTGGTGGCTAAATGAGTGGGAATGCTCTATTGTGATATCTGTTGTTGTGATATTGATGCATATCTGTTGCAAATAGATTTTGAATTTACAAGTACAGTATATGAACAAAGAGTAGGCAAAAGTCTTGTTATAGTGTGCATTTTAAACACTTGAAATTAATTAAAGATGCATTTCATGACTTTGCATTATCATTGAACTACTTTTATAGAGCCAAAAAATGTCTATTTAATCATTAGAGTCTAAAAATTATACTTATTCATTCTGAAAAAGAATAAGAATGGTCATTTGTTTTAATTAAAAACTGTCGGGAATATTCTAGAAAATGTTCTGGGATACAACTTCAAACTAAAGTGGAATTCTGGATTAAGTAATCTGCTTTTTGGTAATAAATCAATATCATCCTGACTGCACTCTACTTCAGCAACCATAGAGACAATTAATACTGTCTTGTAATTCCAACTTTAATATATGACAGACACAAATACAAGGGGGAAAAACAAAAGATTTCCTACATAGAGAAAGATTCAGCCCATTGTTGTTTGGCATTTATGTTGCTACTTTGCTTACAATTGTTCATGCTCAAGTTTTGATCAAACAGATTGAAGCAAGATAATGTATGTGAAAAGTTATTATGTCAATTTATTCTGTCTATTTAAGAAATTTTACAGAACATTTTTGCCTTTCAAAGCCTGAAAATATGATGCATAATTCCGAGAACGTTTTTTTCAACTTTAACTTAGATAAAAATTCTTGATGTTGTTTTAAAAATGATTTACCTCGCTTTAAAAAAGTTTGACACTGTGATTTTCAAAATTGTGTTTTTTATAACAATTGCTGTTGAGCAGAATAAATTCAATTTTGTTTGGCGAGATCAAACAGTGAGTCATTTAAAAATAATTAACGATGTAAGAGAGAAGTGACTCCTTCACTCTTGGTTTGGTGAAATTGTATTATTGACCAAAGAATTAGTGAAGGGGTTGTTTTCAGTGACGGATTTATGTAATTAGTCACTACACACCATGCCACCCTTTTCTATTCTTTAATTTGTAAATAAAGACAATAAAGTTTCAGTAATGCCTAAAGTATTTATTCAATTAATAATACTACAACTTTTTTATAATAAAATGAATAACCTTAAGGAAAATAAATTAAAATCTCTTGCCTCTCGCTGATTGAACTATGAATTGGTCGATGCGATCATCACAGTTTATTGATTTTAAAATTTTAGATTCTATTTCCAACAACGCAAATGTATTTAATCAATCTGAGATAGTTTTTCGCACATTCCAAACATGACATTACAAATGTGTGCAATCATCTGCTATGCAATATCAACATTGAAAGGCACCATTTACAAGTCATGAAGACACTTCATTAATGCCATTGGAGACAAATTTTCGATATTTTTCCTAGTGAGATGTGCTTGGAAATGTAACTTTTCATTTCCCACTTTGCCTTCTAAATCTGTGTCACAAAAATCTCGCAACAAGTTTGATTCATTTTGTAAATTGCATTCAAATTTTCAAAGTTCTAAAATTATGTAGGTCATTCCACAGATTTTTTTGTAAGCTTCGTTTCTGTGAGTTTACTCACAAGCTAAGTTATTTAAAATCACAGAACATATTGACTTTGATGTGATCATAGGTGAATTGTTTGTTAATTATTAATTAAAAGTTGTACTTTCTGATCAATTGAGTTGAAATGTGGTCATGTATTCCTCGCATATTTTGTTTATTATTAACCAAGATGTTATGAATTGAAGCAAAACTAGCTATGAAAATGTGTTCGATACAATATTTACTGATTATTATTTACTTTAATTATGGTAATTTAATAAACGTATTTACATCGGACAAAAATATATGCTTTGATGTGTTTAAAGATATAATACTAAAAACTTTAAATTTTCGTAATTTTGTTGATAAATTGCGCGATATCATTCTTCGCTATCCTGCAAGCTGAGTGAAAGTGCCCTTTATTAAATGAACCCTGGCAATTGTAATTTGTGTCAATAAATCATTTTTCGAATAGAAAACCTTTTGGATTAAAGGAAATATGCTGCCCCCAAAAAATTGCTTCTCAGGGGCCAGTGCTCACAGTGCCCATGCCTGATTCCACCACCGGTTGTTCTGTAAAGTTCATTGAGAACAGATGTATAGTTTACATGTAATCTCGAGAAATATTTAGAGATACATTATTTGTTATTGAACTTCTGAAAGTGTATGTGCCCCAAGCTGAGGATGTAATGTATTCAATACATACAAAACCTTAAAATATTATAAATGTTTAATATTTTAATTGTGAAAATGAATGTGTTTCATTATACATTGCACAGGCATTGCGAGTATCTATGGAAGAACAGAGACAACGACAGGAAGAGGAGGCCCGGCGTGCTCAAGTTGCGTCAGCTGCAGAAGGAGGATCTACAACTCCTGCCCCAATTAAGGAAGCTTGTAAGCAAATTGCATTGCACAGAGCTGGTTATTCAGTTGTATTCAATGGACAAAGGAGGCATGTAATGGTATCTGAAAATGTGATGTGTTCAGCAACTTGGCTCAGATGATCATGCTGAAATTGGGCTCATAAATTCAGATAACTCACCTTCCAGCCTGACTTCAAATTTTCCAATACTAAACACTTGAACTGCATTTTGACTGTAAATTCTTATTTCTTCCTTGAGAAGGATAATTGTGGGATGTAAATGTAATTGGGATTGAACCAAGTGCCCACGTCTGTCTTTGGACTTTCTCAAAGTGTAGTCTTGTGATGGGTGTTTGCTTTGTATTTTGTTCATTAGAACTCTGCTTGATAAAAGGACATCAAATTAAAGCGCATTAAAATCCTTTTAATTTAGAGTGCAACATAAATATTATAAATGTTAGTGCTTAAAGTTGTTTTTTAATCATTGTTGAAACCATTGTTAGTAATCCTGTTAATTATATTACTTTATTATGAATCAAAGCTCAGATAATTTTTTTGAAAAATCCACTGTGCGTAATGCAGATGCTATTTACAGGGTACACTAGCGTTGCGGCAGAGCGTATGGGCAGGCATAAGACCATGAAGAAATAAAATTAGTACACATATGGGTTCATGTAGCATTTTCTCTCAATACATTTTTATTTTTTGTTACATCCTTCAAGAGAATGCTTCTTTGTTGTTTTTTTGCTCTGGCAAGTGATTAGTCCTCTCAAAGCAAATATTTTCTGGTTTTCAGTAAACATTTTCTTTGAATTTTTGACATGTTTCTTTAACTGTGGAAAAGTTGTGGCCAAAATTCTAGAAGTTCACATTATCATGGCCTGCATTATTTCTTTATTGTGTTTGCCATACGTTTATGAGAACTACAGAAACATACTCATAGTTTTGCCTATTCTACGTGTACCACCAATTTTTATAATTCTTGATTGTGTGTTGCTACAGTTCTGTTGGTGCATTCTCCCGTAGCTTTTTTATGTAAATTCAGTATTGTGGGTAGTGAGTCAGACTTATTGATAAACTGGCAATGTAATTTAACTTTCTATCTATCAATGTGAATTATCGTCATATACCCTAAAATTGTATTCAGAGAAAGACTGAAAATAAAAGAATGTCACAGTCCCATGAGATTCACTAGTGTCCTGGCTGCATAGTGTCCAATAAAACAGCTGGATTTGTGTTGTTATTGTAAGTCATTGTGTTTGATGATTTTGTACATTCAATTTTCCATGATTGTGTATAGGATATCCTATTACAAGCATGGACATGCCTGGGTGATGGGTGTTGGTCCCTCCAATATTTTCAAATACATCCAAACATTTCATTCTAGTTTCATTATTTTTAACAAAACTTTATCAGTAAAAGATAATTATGTAATATAACAAATCATTCGTTACATGATTTGATAACATTATGCAACAAAAATGTTTTGCCATTCTTCATTAAAAATAAAAATGCTTTGAAAATAAATTTTTCAAGATGCTCCTCATTCGTATGGGTGGATGAAGGACTATCCAAGTGGTTCAAGAGGGCCAATAATCACTTTACTTCGCACCACTAATATTCTCACTGCTGTCATAGTTTTCTCAGTTTATTATCAAAGGACATTATTGAATAAATGAATAGCTGCAACATAACTTTTCAATGTAATGTGTACACCATATTAAATTCAGTAAATCAATTAAAAAGTTCTCATGGATTAAATTGAAATTCTGCAGATATACTTTGTATTATGTTTCTCTAAATTTTGATGCCTGATACACCCATGGTAGCAGTTTTTTCATGTTGAGACAGATTATAAGCTTAATATGTGTGGTTTTCATTGTGTTGATTAATTTCTTGTGATTTACAGCACCTAATGAGGAAGCTTTGTTGGAGCGAGCTCTTGCAATGTCCCTGGAGAGGGGTGAGGAGGAACAGACTTCTCCTGCTATGCCAGATTTTGCAAATATGACTGAAGAAGAACAGATAGCTTTTGCAATGCAGATGTCAATGCAAGATGCTCGTGAGTATATTATAATGATGATGTATTAGGGTTGTATTTTTTAAATTTATTATTATTATTGTTATTATTATTATTATTATTATTATTATTATTATTATTATTATTATTTAATAAATTTAAATTGGATTGAAATTATTTTGTTTTAAAGAGGATCAGTCAGCCACCAAACCTTCAGCGGTTAAAACCGAAGCTAAGCAAACACCAATGGAAGTTGAAGGAGAGGAAGAAGATTATTCAGAAGTAATGAATGATCCTGAGTTTCTTCAGAGTGTGCTGGAAAATTTGCCAGGTGTTGATCCACAAAGTGAGGCTATTCGTCAAGCTGTGGGAAATCTTTCAAAGGAAAAGAAAGATAAGAAGGATGAAGATAAAGAAAAGAAGAAGTAACTAATGGTGTATGAGAAATTTGAAGACGGTTTTCTTTGGTATTTGCTATAAAAAAAATACTTGTTCTCAAGAAGGGCGATTCAGTGTAGGTGTAGCTGAAATGCATGCATTGTCTACTAAAATACTTTTGTGAGATCATTCTGTATCTTGTCTTGCTTACGTGAATACATCATGGAAGTTGATGTTCATTGCTATGTTCAGTTTTTTTATTATCCTAAGGAAGTTGAATATTAATGAAATAAACAATTCCAATAATGCAACAAAAATTGCATTTTCTTCATTTTCTTATCTATTGGATAATTATTTAAATCTGGTTTATAATTATGCAAATTATTCTTAGAATAAATGAATGAACCTATTAATGACTTAACAATCAGCCTTTTTTTTTATATATTCATTATTTTCAGTATATACATTTAATCAACTGATACTCTGTTTCTATGGTTTTAAGAAGTGTAGAAACATGTTCAATAAATTGTTGTAAACTCTTTTTACTCTGTCTACAGTGAGATTTATATACAACATTTTCAGTTAATACCTGCAGTTGCATTTCTTTGTCTGTTTGAAAAGAGTTCGTGCATCACAAAGCTGGTATTGTACATGGGATGTTGAACACTTTCCTTCGAAGTTACATATTCACTTTTGTGCTCTGTTGTGGTAAAATACTAGTTTTTTTAAAGAATATTTTTATTATAAATTAATATTAAATTCATAACTTTCTTCCTTTCGTATATAGGTGTGAGTTTTGATCATATATTTGAAATTTGACTCTGAACTATGGACTTAATTTAATTAAAAATGTCATTCTATACCACATGTTAAGAATGTGATTGCAAAGGTTATAAGTGAAAAAGTGGTTATTAATAATTTAATGAACTTCTGCATAAACCTTTTGTGTGTTATTATACAAACAAATGTGTGGAAATGTTATGGCTTAAACAAAATATTTCCATAAAATTTCAGATCTATGTTAAATTGTATTCCTACTTTTTCATAAGATCTTTGAATATGAAGTCATAAAAACAGAGTAGACATAGAAATAACTACAATCTTTTGGAAATGAACATTGAATTATCAACATTTGTAAAGCCAATGGTAATAGTCAGAAATATTGCCTTAGCATTGTTGTTGTAATTTGTTGCGTCTATATAGTCGCAACATGTCTCCTAGCTCCTAGAAGCGTTGAGTGCACCATGGAATAATCCTCCATTAATATCTGTAGGAGTAATCCTCCGTTATTATGCACCTAGTACCCTGTGGGGGCCGCCGGGTAGTCAAGTCACATCAGTCACAGTCAAGTCAGGGAAAGCGTTTCGGTTACATGCTTCTGAACTTGCGTTCTTGTGTGCCTTTCCCCTAAGGTAAGTGAAAATAATCAGTGAGATCAACTTAAGGTATTGATCCAAATTTCTAACTGAAAAAAAGAAAAAATGAGATGACATCGTCATAATAATTTGTTGACGTTAGTGTAATTTGCATGCCTGTGGTCCAGAAGTTAGATTGTGGAGATCAAGTTACAGAATTCAATTCAAGGTTTTGGAAGGTTGTCTTTAAAATTTTGCTTTCTGGCTGATTGTAAGGTTTTTAAAAAAATAACTGTTTTCAATTGGCATCAACCTATAGTCTGCAGTGCCGGTAAAGCATAATTCTTAGACACAAAAATGAAAGAACTATCATATTTACCCGAATATAAGACATTTTTTTTCGAAATATCTCTGTCGAAAAATGCGGGGTCGTCTTATATTCGCAGATTAAACCTAGTCGGCTAGGATTTAAGTTTTTACATTGCCATTCCATGTCACGAAACTCGGAAGTGTTGAAACTGTGATGACAGTAAAAATATCGCGCGTAATAATACGTAATTATATCCGCGTTCGTATTCAACCGCGAATTTGTCCGGCAATTCAGACCGACATTTGAATGGGCCGGTAAAGAGAATCTCTAACCGTTTCAAATGAAACGTAACGTGGAAATGAATGCCGAGAGTTCATTTCCACGATCTGGTTTCGAGGCTCGACGGAATCACGGTTCGACGCCCGGCGAATACGCACATGCATTTTGAACAGAACAAGAGGCCAGCCCGTGACGAACAGAAAATCTGGCGACAGAAGTGAATGTTCTTAGATGGCGTCTGATGAAGACTATGAACAACGCAAAATGTAGTCCGCAAAACTTTCAAGAGGGGCCGAAAAAGTCAGAAAATATCACAGAATGGAACCAAAACAGAAACATTGAACATGTGAAGATGATGATGATAGTGACAACATCCAGGATTATACTAGGAACAAGAAAATAATAGTTCAGCAATTAGTCTTCACATGATCACATACAAAGCAATTTTCTGGGCAATAAGACATTTTATAATTTCGTTTTGACTAAATAGTAAGAAATAGTTTAAAATTTTAAAAATTCGGGGGTCGATTCATAGTTCTTGATTCAGTGCAGACAACAATTGAAAGAACATATTTGGAGGCCAAAAGTTACATTCATGTACGTATCTGTACAATCAAGACACTATACCGAGCATACAAAAGGAAAGTAATATTCATTTTAACAATAACATTTAATGTATTTTTTACCATTTGGATTGTATAATTCTAATGAACCTGTAACAAGTATTATACGTGGTCCCTTGTTTTGCTTCTGAACATAAACGTAACTTCAAATAAACTTCTCCCGAAAGCATGTTACACACAGTTTCTAACGTTTTCGACATAAATAAATAAAATAAACTGTGTTGGAACTGAAAAGGATATTTAAATTTATGATTTTGTAAATAATCTTTTTAATTTTTCTATTTTGTGTCTTAAAATAGTATTTAAATATGTAAATATGAAATTTGTTTCTTTAAAACTATGACTTAATTAATATATTAAGGAGGATCATAATACCAGCACACAACTTTTTTTCAAATTTGATTTCTCTTGAATTAGACTTTTTATCAACTTTCTGAACAGTTAAGAAAGTTCATATTTTTTATACACACTCAAATGTTAAATGTGAATTATATTCACACAAATGTTTAAAAAAGGCATTTAATTAATTTTTTTAACGTCAAATAAAAGTGGAGGCTCACATTACCACCTTCTGCTTTAATGATCCCAATATTGAACAAGTCATTGCCTTGATTCTGAACAACCAATGAATGGCTCTTGATGAAGTGGCAAACCATATGCACGTTAGCCAGAATCTACAAATAAGAGCACCGAAATGGATTGTCGAAAGACATTCTTTTATTGCAAGGCCATGCACATCACAAAATTCCGTCGCCGAAGTTCTACCAAGTCTGTATTTGAGGTGACAGAGCACCCCCGTTAAGGTCCGATCTTGTCACTTCTATTTACTTCATGTTTTGTCCATTTCAAGAAGATTTTCCTCCTGCGTGCAGTTGAAAAGCAATGTATGCATGACTTCCTGTCATTCGAAGATCCATATGCTTTACATTCTAACCCTAGTCGTAAGAAGAGAAAGTATTGTAATCGTGCGCCAGAAAACTGAGAATTTTGAAGAAAACAATTACGAACTTTTATTGTCGAGCCCTGGTGTCGAAAAAGTGGATATCTCTTGTTCCAATATATAATAAATTCCTTCATCTAACACGTTGTGAATTCAGAATCTGTGTTTTGTAGTAAATATATGTAGTACTTAAGGGAATATTTAAATGAAATTAAATTTCTATAATTTTGGCGGCACTTTTTGAGTTTCATTTTCCGGGGTAGGCACACCTAGACGCTGCTTACCATAATATTGTATTTCAATAAATCTATTTTGCCTGCTAAGATTTACACTAGTTTCAATTTTTGACTTACCTTCAAGGCGCAAATCGGGAGCTTTTATTATTCTTATATTATTTTCAGATAATTTCACTATGAAGATTTATAAATTTGAATTAATATATATATTATTTAAAAGTATATTAAAATAAAAATAAATTTCTATAATTTTTTCGGCATTTTTTTAATTTCATATTCCAGGGTAGGCACGCCTGGCCGTTGTCTACCCTAATATTCTATTTTAGCAAATCTCTTTTTGTGAGAGTAGAACACTTGCAGGCTGTCTAAGTATTTGTCGTGAATTGTTGGTAAACCAACGAACTACATTTTGCCAAGTTTTACGCTATTTTCGAAATCCGACTTGCCATCTAGACGAAAATCAGTTTGCTATTATAATTTAAAAAACGAAAAAGCAGTGAATTTCATTATATTTATTTATAAATTTGAATCATTATATGTGGTATTATAAAATATATTGAAATATTAAATTTCTCTAATTATTAGGCGCCGTTTTTGAATTCCGTATTCCAGGGTAGGCACGTCTAGCCGTTGCCTACCCTAATATTCTATTTTAGCAAATCTCTTTTTGTGAGAGTAGAACACTTGCAGGCTGTTTTCGTGTTTACTTTCGGGCGTTGTTCATAAACCATCGAGCTACCTGGCTGCTTAGCTCTAAGCTAGTTTCAAATGACGACTCACCTTCTAGACGAAAATCGGGTGCTATTTACATTCTTAAAAAAAGAAATAGGGGACAATTGCATTACATTTATTTTTAAATTTGAGTCAATATATGTTGTATTTAAGATTGTATTAAAATATAAATAAATTGCTCTAATTCTTGGCCGCCTATTTTGAATTTCATATTCAAGGGTAGGCTGCCCTGGCCGTTGCCTATCCTAATATTCTATTTAAGAAAATCTTTTTTTGTGGGAGTAGAACACTTGCAAAATGACTCCGTTCTTTCTGTCGTGCATTGTTGGTAAACTATCGAGATACATAACTTCTAAGCTTTACGCTGGTTTCAAATGTGGAGTTACCTTAAAGACCAAAATCAGGAGCAACTATTATTCTTGAAAAAAGGAAAAACCAGAGAATTTCATTACATTTATTTGTAAATTTGTTGAATACATGTTGTATTTAAGAATATATTGAAATTTAATTACATTTCTCTAATTATTGGCCGCCATTATTTAATTTCATATTTCAGAATAAGATCGCCTAACCGTTGCGTACCCTAATATTCTATTTTAACTAATTTATTTTTGTGAGTGTAGAACACTTGCAGGCTGACTACTTATTTACTGTCGTGAGTTGTTGGTAAACCATCGAGACACTGGCTCGATAGTTAAAAATACCTTGACGCTATTTTCCAAATCCGACTTACCATCTAGACGAAATTCGGGTGCTCTTATTAATCTAAAAAAAGAAAAAGCAAAAAATTTGATTATATGTTTAATAACCATAATAAGCATAAATTTAATCAATATATTATATTAAAGAATATATTGAAATTTATTTAATTTTTTCTAATTATTAGCAGCCGTTTTTTAATTTCATATTTCAGGGTAGGCACACCTGGCCATTGCCTACCCAAATATTCTTTTTTAGCAAATCATTTTTTGTGATAGTAGAACACTTGCAGGCTGTCTTCGAATTTACTGTCGTGCATTGTTGGTATACAATCGAGCTACCTGTCTGCTAAGCATTGCGCACGGTTTAAATTTCCACACTCTTTTTAGACGAAAATCGGGTGATAGTTATATTCTTAAAAACGAAAGAGCAGACTATTTCATTATATTTATTTATAAAATGCATTGAAATTTAATTAAATTTCTCTAATTAATGGCCGCCTTTTTTTAAATTCATATTCCAGCGAAGGCACGCCTCGCCGGGGCATACTTTTTTTTTTTTTTTTTTTTTTTTTTTTTTTTTTTTTTTTTTTTTTTTTTTTTTTTTAGAAATATCATTTTGAGGGAGTCACTTGTAGGCTGTCTTCGTATTTACTGTCGTGCGTTGTTGGTAAACCAACGAGCTACCTGGCTGCTAAGCATTTCGCTTGGTTCAAATTTTCAACATCAAATAAGATGATATTATAATTCTTAAAAAAACAAAAAATAAGATAATTTCATTACATGTTTGAAAAAAATTGAATCAATATATGTGGTATTTTAAAAAATATTGGAATATTAAATTTCTCTAATTATTAGCCGTCATTTTTGAATTTCATATTCCAAGGTAGGCACGCCTGACTGTTGCCAACCCTAGTTTTCTATTTTAGCGAATGTATTTGTGGGAATGGAACACTTGCAGGATGTTTACGTATTTACTGTCGTGCAATGTTGGTAAACCA